GGCCGGCCGGGAGCTTAACACAGTCAAGCGATCGAGCGTCTCTATAGACGCTCGATCACTTGTATCAGCATCTGTCACTGCCGTGTTTGGTCCCGAGATCCGCTGTGCCCGATGCGACCGGGACCGGCACGGCTCTGTGACAGGAGATCAAAGGGAGTTCAGTATACGAACTCCCTTTGATCTCGGTAGTAGATCTGCTACCGAGATCAAACTCCCTTTGATCTCGGTAGCAGCATTCTCGGTACCCCCTCTCTCCCTGTATACCCTCTCTCTCCTCATTTGGATAATGCAGAAGTACAAAGCAGACCTTGGTATAATGGGGCTTAGCCGTATAGGAACATGACCATACATATGATTTTTGAATGGAGTTTGCATCAAAAATTGCATAAAAAATTATTAAACATCTTGGTGGCCTTACCCTGAGATATTCTCTTACTAATATGTATGATGTTCTTAAAGTATATTGAAAGTGGAAATATTTTGGTCAGGTTTTTATTGCTGGATGTGCCCTATTGGCGAAATCTCCCTTCACTTCCTGTCCTGGAAAACTACAGGACATCTCTCCAAAGTGAAGGGAAATTCCCTCTTTTTTTTTCACTGAAACAGGTATCCCCGTTAGAAGCTTTCTCTGCACTACTGTTTAGTGACAACAATTTTGGATTTTCCATTGATTCAGTGACAGTGGTCACCGTAACAAAATAGAGAGGGTGAATTTCCCTGACCAGGACACAGATAGCAATAAAAACTCCACATAAAGTGCTAATATTTCTGCACTTTATTCTAAACTAAATATAAGAAAAAGCTGTCTATAGATACATGTTAATGTACAAATATGCTTCTTAAGTACCTAGGAAATAATGGCTGCCCTGCCTAAGAATTTTCATTTAATGCCAGTCTTGTAGGATGGGCCGGTGTCTCAGATCATCTGTCTGTGCAGGGTAGTTGGTCCCTGGAGGAATTGAAATCTTTTAGTCAATGTCCTGGAATTGAGGGCCATTTGCCTGGCGTTGTACCTGGACCTGTATCCTGACTGCTTGTTCGGATCCATTCTACTAGAGCAGTTAGTACTTTGTGGGCATTTCTAAATCAGGCTTCTGTTTCTCAAATTTGCAAGGCCCCAACTTGGTCTTCTGTTCAGACTTTTGCTAAGTTTTATGAAGTTGATGTTTCTGCCTCCTCTAATGCTAGTTTTGGCAGAAAACTAATTCAAACGGCTGTTTAAATGTATTTTTGCATTTACATTTTTTGCTGTTAAACTGGTTCTTTTAGTTGTGTGTTGCTCACCCCTCTGTTTGGACAGCTTTTGAACATCCCTGGCTGTAGCAGAATTTTTCAAGAGCGGTTTCCCTCAATGGAGAAAATAGGATTTTGTTCTTACCGTAATATCCTTTTCTCTGAGTTCATTGAGGAACACAGCTCCCTCCCCTCATTTACTCCTGTACTGCTTGTTACAACTGGCAGGTGGGAGGGCTATGTCCTTAAAGTGACAGGCTTTAAATTTTTGTTTGCCTAGTGTCCATTTCTCCTAGAGGCAGCAGCATAACCCTAATTATAAGAATTCTTCAGAGCTGTGTCCCTCAATGGACTCCGAGAAAAGGATTTTATATTTAGAACAAAATCCTATTCCTAGGCCCAAAGAAGGTTGGATATTTGTACATTAAAGTGTATTTATAAACAACTTTTTCTAATTTTAGTTTAGGATAAAGTGTAGACATTTTAAAACTGTATGTCAAATTCTTTCAGCCTGGAGTTCTTTTTTCTGAGAAAAAATGTACAAACAATAACCAAATATGATATAACAGATATGAAATGACTCTTTGGGGGTTAAGAAATGTCTGCAGTATTAATAGTTTGAATGTTTTACAATGGAATAATACATGTGCAAAAAGATTGTTCATCCAGTGGAAACCAAGTTTGCCAACAAAAGGACGGACCTAATTTGGACTATGTGTAAGGTTCAGCTTTGAGCAGGAAAATATTGTGCTTTTTGTACTTCTTACAAATCTCAGATAGAACCACCTGGGTTGACGGCTTTTTCTAACCCCCCAAAATGTATTTCTTAGCCACTGCTTCTTTTAAGTACAGTAATACTTTGGTTTACAAGTAACTTGGTTTGAGAGTGTTTTTGCAAGACAAGCAAACATTTCTGAAAAATTTTGCTTTGATATACAAGCAATGTCTTGCAATAATTTGTAGAAAAGCACCACCCGAATAAGGCTGTAGCAGTGCGAGCGATGAGTCTGTTTAACGACAATGCAATGTCACATTGGATAGATTCCTTGTTAAGGTTTCACGAAATGAAAAAGATTCCATTGAGCCAAGAGATAGCAGTGATTCCGTTAGTGATAGTGAAAGTCGTCCTACACAATAATCCTCCTCTCTCTTGTCCCCCTCACACCAGCCACGAATGTACAGGTAATTGGTTTATTTTTCTTTATATTTTGTAGAGTATTATATTACAGTATTGTATTGTAATTATTTTTATATGAATATTTTTGGGTTGTGGAACGAATCATCTGAATTTCCATTATTTCCTATGAGGAAATTCGCTTTGATATACAAGTGCTTTGGATTACAAGCATGCTTCCGGGACGAATTATGCTCGTAAACCAAGGTATTACTGTAGTTGAATTTCCTATTTGTTTATTCCAGAAGGCCCTAAAAGAGCTTCTCTGGCTTTTAGATCTGCTATTTTTAGGTGGATTCGACAGGTTCTTGTGCAGGCCTATAACTTGTGACATAAAGTGCCTCCTTTTCTCATTTAGGGCCTGTTCACACCATCCCTAGACAAGTACATTTTTTTATCTGTTCCCCCACCCCGACTCAAAGTTTTGGGAGTGTATTTAGCAGGTTATGCTGTGTTGGGGATTTTTCCATTACGTGAATCTCCTGTGTATCTGACTTTAGGGAATTAATTGTCCGTTGGAATATTCTGGTGTGCACTCATCTGTTTCCTAGCTGATTTTAATTGATATTATATAGGATGAACGGCGATATCTCAGGTTAGTTGATGAAGCCTTATCTCAGCAACTGGAATTCAAAAATCATCTGACTCTTAAACACTCTGAGGTCTCTGAAGCTCAGAAACTGGTTGAAGAAACCCGAAAGAAGCTGCTAAACATTAACAGGTAACTGTGTTTGTTCATGAAAGGGAATGTATATTGGTTTAGCATTATTCATCATGGTCAGCGCTTTCATCATTTATTTTATTTAGGTAAATATGAAATATTGCATATATTTTGTGACCTAGGTGGAGTTGTGGGCTCCCTTTCATAGGTTTGCTTGACTAGTCTTACTTTTTTGCTGAAAAAGTCCTACTCTTTACAGAGTTCAATCTCTCAAGCTCCAATTTACTGACAACTGAATAAATCAGAGAGGTGACTCCCCTTTCCCTTGCTGTGTGCTGAGGGCTCCATAAAAAGTGTGTGTGTACAGTATATGAGTGTATGTTGCAAAATGCTTTGCAGTACATCTGCCTTTCCATTTCCTATCCGTTTTCAACATGCATCTACCCACCAAAAGCACACACCCCTTTTTCTTCTTTCTACATAGTGCAGGTGTTACTGGTGTATGTAATGTGTTAAAAATCATGTGCATTGTTTGGTGTCTGGATGCGTCTTGGCTTTTTAACAGCATTGAATAAGCCCTTAAATAAATCACCCTTAAAACACATGCACAAGGCTTGTGTGTAACGCACATAGTAACATATAGTATATATGTGTTCAACAGCACATTTCTGTGAATTATAAGGTCAGGTTTTATATACACCAAGTTTATAGCCAAAAATATATTTCTTTCTCATCCTCTGAGGATTAACACAGGAAGTTACTGTGATGTTATACTGCCACCTGCAGGAGGACTGGACACTGGCAAGCAAAAAAAACTGTATACCAGCATGCCTCAGATTTTTGCTAGAATCCTAGGAGGATGGATGTCTTTTCTTTAGCTCTGTTTAACATTTTTTCCAATCTCTGCCAGAGCTTGTCTCTTCGATTACAGCTGTCCTCAGTCTGACTTGGAGTGCATTGTCCAAGCCCTGCTGAACTGGAGCTTGCAGGCCTGGCCTGGAAGTGACCTTCAGGCACTAGGTTCCACATAAGCCACTTTTCAGACTCCATTCTGGTAACAAGTTAGCTGGGGAGCAGTTTCCAGAGTCATTGGCATTGCCTCAGCTCTTGTCTTGTCTCTGAAGACTCACTCTGAATAAGCTGATTACACTTGACATCAGGAGCCCCCTCATTTGCTTGACTCATTGGGTGCCTTTTAAAATTCCTGCCCTTTCCTAGTATGGAAAGGGTAAATACTGAGGGATTGATGTCGTCCACTGGGTGGAGTGTTGCACACACGTTCTGCATGCTCTTTCACGACATTCATCGTCAAGGAAGCATCTCCCCACTACTGATCTTGCATTGCAAACAGCCACGTGGAACTCTGATCTTCGGTCTGTTCCTACTGTCCGCCTTCAGTGAACGTGGTAACCTATGGCCACCTGACCCTCACCAGATACCGGCTGTTTGGGTTTGTGAGAACCTAAGGCCTTGCCTCATACCCTGAGCCTTACTTTGCTTAACTACTGTATGGTCAAAACATGGCTGATATTGGACACGGGGAGAGACAGTCCTGCTCTATGGGGTACCCCCAGCTCACACTCTGCTAACAGCTCTGGTGCCGCTTTCAGCTTGCCCACTGATGTTGCTGATGTCTGCAGCCTGGAATTATGCTACCCTCTGATCCTATAGTCTTTCCCATCTTCAGAGTCTTCCCTAGCTGCATTGGATGTAGTTGGCTCTTCTCCCCTCTTGGCTGACTGTTTCTGCAGTCATTTATGGCCCAAATCACACAGGTATTTGCTGACTCAAGAGCGCACTTCAACACCTTTCCCTGCAGATTCTATGTCTGATCTGCCCATGGCCTCCGAGCAATTAGTCACTAAGAAAGAGGAGTTGCAGTCTTCTGCTATTACTGTCAAATTAAAGGAGACCTCTTATTAATGCATTGCACACCACTTTAAATCTAGAGGATCAACCTGTTGCTTCTACCAGTGTTATTCTTAATCATGGGTCCTTTTAGAACCGCTAAAACTGCCTAAGTCTTCCTCTGCGAGAATTAGAAACACCCTGACAAGATGTTTGCTCCCCCTAAGCTTTTTAACGTTGTATCCACTTGAAGAGGACTTTTAGGTGGTCTATCCTCACATGTGGATAGGGCAGTGTCCTGCCTTAGCAAGGCAAGCCACCATTCCAGTGGAGGGTTCATCCATCTTTAGGACAGGTCCTGCTCTTCAGCCCATTTTAGCTGTGACTTTGCTTTGACAAACCAGTGGATCTCTTGGTCATTGAACAGCCATGGAATGTTTGGGGCTAGTGATGGGCTGCTGGAAGTTTCCCATCTCATCTTGCAGGTACAGGTACGTCCTCCCGGAACAATGGGGCAGCGGACCACCCATTTATGTACCTTGGTTGGTCTGCAGGATGTTAAGCTACATGCAGTCCCCAGTTTCTGTTTACCTTGAGCCTATTAGCATTTGGTTTTTGTTGCCTACCTCTCTTTTGGATGTCCTAAAGCTTTAAGACTTCCTGTATCCCTTAATGGAAGTAGAAAGAAAAGATAATTTTTCTATTCACTGTAAAATCAATTTCTTGGAGTCCATTGAGGGTGGGGCAGTGGAAGGGGTTATCGTGGGGTGACCTACAGTTTTTGTGTGTGCCAGCATTCAATCCTCATGTAGGCGGCAGTATAACCCAATGTTTTAGTTCCTATGTCTCTCCATGAACTCCTAAAAATGGATTTTGCAGTTAGTACAAAAATCCTGTTATTTTACATTGATTACTGGAGATTCGAAAGTCAAAATAAAATGTACATTCATTCCTAATATTTCTTTGTTTTGCATCTGAAGAGAAATTGGCAAGAAGCAGAAGGAAGCAATGACCATTGAAAGTCTGATAGAACAGAAGAGGTTAGAAAAACACAATTTACTCCTGGATTGTAAAGTACAAGATTTGCCGATAACTCTACTAGCCGGCTGTTTGGATGATATCATGGAAGTTGAGGTGAGGTCTAGACCAGAGGCTTTTTCCACCCATCATATGATTGGTGCACATAAGATATTTATAACAAAAATGTATGTCAGTTATATTCCATGTAATCTGCATTATGCATGCTAGATATCATGACAAACTGAAAAAAGTCTGTGTGCAATGTAACTACAGGTAGAAAGTGAAAGCACTCTAACTGCTACTGAAATCTATGAACGAGAAGGGACTTTTCGCATAGACTATGGCGATCTTCCTCATAATCTAAAGGTAACTCTTTATTATTGCTTCATAAATGTTTCTTCCACGTGACAGTTTTATTTATTTCCTGTATTTATAGTGCGCCTACATATTAGTCAGCACCCTACAGTCTTCAGAAGACAATTCAAATTAGTCCCTGCCCCTAAAGAGCCTGGGTTTAAAGCCCAACTCTGAGCCAACAAAAGGCCCCATTCCCCACCTCCTCAACTTCCCCACACCCTCTGCCTCATACTCAATATATAACTATCTTTATCCATTGTTAAGTGACCTTCCCAGCGCTTGGTGCCTCATAAGTTTCTTATGACAAGAGAAGATGTTTTAACCACTTGAAGACCAGGTGTTTAGACCCCCTTCCTGGCCAGGCCATTTTTCAGTATTCAGCACTGTGGTACTTTGACTGACATTTATTCCGTCATGCAACGCTGTACTGAAACGGGCCGGCAGTTTATACAAGTGATCCGCCGGCTCTATAGCCGGCGTATCGCTTGTATGTTAATAGGCATCGCTGCCTGTTTTTAAATCTTGTGTCTTTCCTGCTCGTGCGCACCGCACGGGCGGGTCTAACAGGCCGCATATACACGGCCTGTTACATTCAGGAAGCTCCCGGCCGGCTGTTTTTTTACAACGGCCGGCCGGGAAGCGGTTAATTAAAGATGGTAGAGCAGGAAAGTGCCATTATTTTCCAGTACACTTGCAGTCTAGTATTCCCTTAGATGACCAGCTGCCATTTGGTGCAAAGCAGGGGCCTCAAACTCAATTCACTCGGGGGCCACTCAACAAATGTATTTCTCCCATGGGCAGCTTGCCAAATATCATACTTCAAAATTCAAGTTAACCATATGCGGTATGGTACTACGTACACCAATAAACACACAATAGGGCCCTATTCATATCTGTATGTTTAGGTGCAATTAGGGATTTCTGTGTCAGGAACTTGCGTTTTTCTGCAGCAGGAATCCCTAATCTGGCATTTACAAGCGGCAGCTGTCATCCATTCAAGGTAATGATCAGGTGACAGCAGCTGCATGTGAACGCCGGCACACCGCATGTAATGGTATGTGATATTACATGCAGTTAGAAAACACTCTCCCTGGATGCATAATCGATGCGTCCAGGGAGAGTGATTGATTCCTAACCAAATGTACATGAATCATATCACATACCATTACATGCGGTGTGCAGGCGTTTACATGCAGCTGCTGTCACCTGATCTTTAACTTGAATGGGTGACAGCTGTCACTTCAGTGTCACGCCAGATCAGTGTCAGAACTACCACCATAGAAGGGGGCCTGGTCAGGAGCAGGGCGTAACGACCAGTCTCCGCAATCCTGGACATTGTAGGTGGAGACAGCCAAATGGGTGGGGTCAGACTCCTGCTGTCTTCTCTGGATTGGTTAGCGAGAGGAGTAGACGTGGTTTGGAGGTAAGAATGTGGCGCGGCTTTGGACGGACGGACATCTGAGACACCGAGGAGATCAAGGAGGGGGCAGAGGTAGGGAGACATCTGCAGTCAGCTGCTCATGGGGCTTGAAGTTGAAGAATTGTGCTGGGCCTGTTGCTGTATGGTGTTATTTTGTCATGGCTGAAACGTTTTGACAAATAACGACGTATATAGGTCAATAAATTGAGCCTTATTTTCAGCTAGTATAGAGAGGCAGGCTGCAGTTTGTCAAAGCATGCATGTTTACCTGATGTGACCATGCACATGTGTATACCAGCCACATTGTGCATGCATGGTCATACCGTACCTCCTTGTCTGCAGCTACATTTAGTATATCAAGCTTGCTAGCAGGAACGTATTAGCTGTTTTCATGTGTTAAAATATCTCTGTAGTATGGTTTTAATATGGTACGTTCAGAATCGAATACTGGCTGCTTCCTGATATGCATTTATCAATTGTACAGGTGTTAATGACAGACAATGAATTCTCAGCTGAACTTATGCGAATGCGTCAACAATGTATTTCTCATGAAAACATTCTGCTGAAGACATGTGCTCCAAATCTGAGAGCTCTGGAGAAACTCCAGAATATCAGTGGCAAGTTTCAAGAAACCACAGATGGTAAAAAGGACATTACTGTTTATAACATTAATAGCCGGTTTAAGATTTCTAAGATCTGTTTTCTTTGTAAGGTTGTATTGCTTGTCTTCTGGCAATCTTCAGTGTGCAGTAGGTCAGTGGACAGCAAGTGGCTGCTGTCTGTGGGTTCCAGCACTGAAAATAAACTCAAGGTGGCAGAGTTAATAGCAAATATCCAACTTGCTATGAACTGTGGAGTAGGCACCTCCATTTGACAGTGCATATGTTTGTTTTGTTTTTAGCTGGGCAGCTTTCCTTTAGATTGCATTCAATACATTTACTGGCCAGTAAGGGAGCCCCACAAGGGGGGCAAGCCAGAGCACAACAATCCAAGCCCTGATTGCCATCCATATACTATTGCTTCACAGATTTCATTTTTTTAGGGCACTCTGGAAATACATTTAATATGTGTGCATGTGAGGCAATGTCTGCTTAACAGTCTAGTTACCATCTTAACATATTGCAATAAATAGAGGTGCACCAAAATGAACATTTAAAAACCGAAATGAAAAAAAGTCAAAACCGAAAATGTTTTTTATTCTTACTTTTTCAAATTTTCTTCAAATATTTTATTTTTGCCAAGAACACACCCTTTCAGCCATTTACACTATATGGAACAAAGTTTTTGGGGTATATCTGGCAACCAAGTGTTAACTGCCCCACAGGAGGAGGGGTTAAAAGACAGGAAACTCCACAGAACAGTGGTGGAGTAGTAGGAGTAACACAGGTGTGTGGAAAAAGCTATTTGAGCTTGTCCTCAATTACCATGTCCTCAATTATCTACAAACACTCAGCGATCACTGAATGTTTGGACTCGCTCTCCTTCCTGATACGCTGTCACAGGAGGCTGAGCGAGCGGACCTGTCTCCGCCCATACCGCTCTCCCGATCTGTGACAGGAGGCGGAGCGGCCGCTCACAGCGCTGTCCTCCAGCAGCACTCAGCCTCCTGTGACAGTTTCTCTCCTCCCTGCTGGGACACAGAGCATCGCCTAGTGGGGAGGAGAGAAGGAACGGATGCACCGCTATTTCGGCCACAAAATGGCACTTTCGGCATTTTGTCAAAAGTGCCATTTTCGGCCTATATGTTTCGGCGGCCGATATATCGCTGCATCCCTAGTAATAAAGTTTATGGACACCTGACCATCACACCTACCACATGGCCAAAAGTTTGTCCAAGAGCTCAGGTGTTTCCATTAAAGAGTCGTGTTAATGCTGCAGTATACAAAGACATTTTGTTTGCAAACTTGTGGAAACGGCAAAGGTTTGGGGAAGGTCCTTTTCTGTTCCAGCATGACTGCACCTCTCTGCACAAAGCCAGCTACATAAAGACATAGTTTGACCAGTTTGGTATGGAGACATTTAAGTGGCCTGCACAGAGCAAATCTTTAGGATAAAGTGGAAGGCTGGTTGCTAGCCAAGTCTTCTTGTTTCATATCGGAACCTGACCTAGCAAATGCTCTTTTTGCTGAATGGGTACAAACTCAGACATATTCCATAATGTTGTGGAAAGCCTTTCCAGAAGAGTGGAAGCAGTTTTAGCTGCAAAAGAGGGACTGACACCAGATTAATGCCCATGGTTTTGGAATGGGATGTCCAACAAGTTTATTTAACTGTGATAGTCGCATGTCTACAAACATTTGCACATAGAGTGTACCTCTTTTTTTTGTTTAAATGCGTGCTTCTGGCGTTGCCTCTCCCTACAGTTCAAGTCAAAGATACTACATCTGAACAGGAGGTCAGACACTCTGCTCTGCCTGTAGGAGAGGTGTTGGTTGGCTATAAGGCTGGGTTCACACTGCGATGGCATTGAAATGGACCTGCGCTCCCATTCACTTGAATTGCAAACCCTGTGAACTATGGCAACACAGCTCCAACACACATGTATGGCAGTACAACACAACGCATAGTCGCACACTACCTTGCGTTGTGGTGCAATGTATTGTCCAAAATGGTACATGCCTGTTTCATTTTGCGGTTTTAGTGTGCTTGCTGCCTTACCACAATGCATGGTAACAAGCAAAAACAAAAGTATATTAACACACGTGCGTTAACTCTGCTCCACACTGGATGCTAAAACTGACCAGCTTCAGTGATATCATAGCAACTTACAATAAAAGAAAAAAGTGCTGGAGGGAGCTCTGCATAAGATCCATGGATCACCATGTATTGTACTACCTCACCATAGTTAATTCCATCAGCTACTTCTTTCTGGCAGAGAAAGATAATGACAAAAAAAATCATATTTCGATAATAGCAGGTGTACTTTAGAGATGAACCCTTAAACAAAATCTCTATGGATTGGAATACGATATTATATTGATTTGCTTTGCACATCTCTCTGCTTACTGATCTGAAATGATTAAGTGTCACCATATATACAGACATGGACAAATACAGTAAGTTGGTGCCTTTAGAGCTTATTGAATCAATGCTTAATTTCTCCTGAAAAACAATGAAATTAAAAGCAGTTATCTCTGGTTCAAACTCCCTGTTGGCAGATGCAGAAGTCTCATTGAGAACTACAGAAATCACTTCTTTGCATTGACCGCCTATAAAGGTTGTGCTAAAATATATTCAGTTAACGGTGCCATCATGTTTGTCCATGCCATTTCATTTGCTTTAGTATTTAAAATATTCTCTATGGAGTATACAATGATGGATCCAAATTACCTTTGTCAGTTTCAAGTTATTTGAGAGAAAATTGTGGGTACTTCTTTTTTCGTGCAAGGGCACCAACATATGTATCCGTGTGTGTGGCAGAAATGTCAGAAGCTGAATTTTGTATGGGCGCTTGCACTGTGGGCAGGGGTCGTGGCTGCAAAGCCATTAATTTCAATGTACCACTACACCCCCTCCCACCAGGGCCAAATTTACTCTCTCTGCTGCCCCAAGGCCAGGTTCCTCAATGCGCCCTCCAACCCTCGACGAGATCACTTGTACAAAACAAGCAGATGCTTCCCCGCTGTACATTTAGCCCTGCTTGCCCAAAGCAGGGCTAAATGTAAAAAACAACTACCCGCTCAGCGCCCGGAAATGCATGTCCTGGGCATCGGGAGATAGGAATTCCACACCCATGCTGCCCCTCTACTCCCTGCTGCCCCAATGCCGGGTCTTGGTTGCCCTTGTGGGAAATCCAGCCCTGCCTCCTGCCCCTGAACGCAGGGAGCTGGCCGGCTTGCGTTCCAGAGGCCGAATGCACTGGAATGCGGAGTTTGTGGTGTGAGCCGGCCCTTAGTGTCCCATCTTCCTCAGAGAACCGTGCAAGTCGTTGTCATGCTGTAGTATTGGTGGTAATGTAAACTCCTGTGGGGCAGTGTAACAGTGAGACTGTTTATTTTTCTCATAGCTTTTGAGACCAGCAGAAGGAAAGCCAGTCTGTGTAGGACACAATTTGAGCAGGTGAAGAAGAAGAGATATGAGCTTTTTAGCCAGTGTTTTGAGCATGTTTCTGTAGCTATCGATCAGATCTACAAGAAGCTCTGCAGAAATAACAGCGCTCAGGTTTGCCTATTTAAATTTATCTCTTCCGTAGATATGAAGTCAGCATTTTCTGGATTTTGGTTACTTTTTATAATGCAATCACAGCCTTTGTATTGTCCAGGAATTGCACCTTGCAGTAGAGGAATGATTGCATTAGGGGTTTATTCGATGGGCAAATGCAGCATGCTTTAGACATCGGTTTGAGATGCTTCTAAGTTCATTCAGAATTTATTACAGGTGCATTTAACCTATTTCGTCTGATTTACATTCCAAAAGACTTGTATGGGGAGATGAGCAGTTCTCAAGTGAACAAAAGCCTGTCCACCCTGGCCTTTACATACATTGCCTGCTCAGCTTCTAATGTAATTGAGGGTAGAAACATTGCCTGTATTTCATTTTTGACTCTGTCATTCATTTCTGCGGCATTACAAATTTTGCAATAATGACTATAGTTGTGTCATATAAGCAATGTAAGTTGCTTGTTGTGTCATGTAAGCAATCTGATAGAGATAGGGACTCCAGCACTCCACTTGCAAGTCAAATTTGTCTATTTATTGACGTAAATCCAGCATATCTCACTGGTTCAATGTAAGCAATCTCTCTCCTCCCCAACCAGATGTTTGTCTGTAGTTGTACAAGACTTCAAAGGCAAGGAGGGTAATATGAAAAAAAAAATTAGGCTCTTTCTATGCACTCTGAGGGCCAAACATATACGCTGCAGAATACATTTTACGCAGAGCATGGGAGCAATCTCTTGACAAACATTGACAATGTCATCTGTGATTATAATAGGCTAAATTAGGATATTATTTACAACTAACTATTTTTTTTCATAATGTTTGGTGTGCATTAAAGTGGACCAGTACGCAAATGGTAAATAACTGCTATGTTATAGGGGACATCTAAAAATGTTCAACGTGCCTAAGCAGTATCCGAGAATTGTACCTTTTGCTTTAAATTCCTCCTGAATACAGCAGTGCACTTCCTGGTATGTGAGGGTGCCTAGACACTCTGGAGCCTACAGCCTCATAGCTAGATATCTGCAGTTTGAGATCTAAGGCACTCTTGCCTCTGACTGCTAGTCTCAGGAGAATTGGAGTGAGATTTGGTGATGTTGCTATTTTGCTGCTCATTTTTATCCTTGCTGGAGACATGAGAAGGCAAAGCCCTGCTTCTCCCAAGATGGCCGACTCCACATGGAGACACAGTGCAGAAGAAGACATGGTAAGTAATGGAGAAAGGATCAGGTGCTGGAAGACCATGGGTAACACTGGTGACTAGTCCTTTGCCTGCCTTTTTTTGAGGCAGGCAAAGGAACTCAGTTCCTCTTTTAATGTTATCATGTGTACTTCCTACCAACTCTGCTGTAACCCTGCTTTAGCTGTGCTGGATATCACTGCACAGTGCTGTTCAGAAATTCATCCTCATATCATTTTTGTCAGTTCCAATATGTCAGCCAGGAGCCAGACTGCTGAATACAAATGAAATGTCAAGCACATTTTATTAACATGTCAGATCTGTATTCAAACTGCTTGCACGCTGGTACTATACACCAGATCGTCTACAAGCAATACACCCGTCTTTTCTTTCCAGCTGTCGTCTTGCTCTCTTCTGTTCCTGTTGTTTTCTTTATCCTTGTCTTTCCAAGGTTCAGTTGCGCAAGTATTGTGCCTTACTTGATGAGAAGCAGACTTTTGTGTATTGCCTTATCGCTTGCTGACTGCACCTGATAATATACTTGATTTGTACTTAAAAACTTGTGCCTCAATAAAAATTGAATATAAAAAAAAACATGTCAGATCTGTGCTGCTGTGGAGCTCTGCCCGCTTTTCATTAAGCTCCGCCTCTTTCCCATAGCATTGTTGAGACTAGCGCAGAAATGAACATTAGGAAAAAAAAATCTGTATATATTGAGAGGAATTTATCAAAACTGGAACAGACAAAATCTGGAGCAGCTGTGCATGGCGACCAATCAGCTTCTCTCTTTCATTTTCATATCTTAACTGAACCAACTGAAGAGAGAAGCTGATTGGTTATTATGAGCAACTGCTCCAGATTTAGTTTACTCCAGTTTTGTTAAATTCCCCCCATAGTGTTTAGAATTCATTTTTTGGGAGACCAAAAATGTTTTTCCTTTCAGCCTTAACTTTTTAACACTTACATTTGCTTAGGCCTTTCTTATTCTTGAGAATTCAGAGGAACCGTATCTTGATGGAATTGGCTACAACTGTGTAGCTCCAGGGAAGAGATTTATGCCTATGGACAACTTGTCTGGAGGAGAAAAGTCTGTAGCTGCGCTGGCTCTGGTCTTTGCTATTCACAGGTGAGATTAGAATCTGAGCACCTTGCCATGAAAACCATAATGCCGCGTGCCTGTCCATTGATCACACTTGACAGAACATCATTTCAGGCTTATTCTTTGCTATTTAAAGAGTCCAGAGAAAGCCCATTTTGCTGTAATCGGAGGCCGGCGATGAAGGTGGACTTACCTTTTGAGCCCCTGTTTTTTAAAGGCTAATTTCACCTTTGTGATAAAATGTACTATGCAGTTGAGTGGCCCAAGTACTCAACATTGGAGCTTAAAGTGAACCTTTACCCCCTTTCACTAAAAATCAGATCAGTGTGCAGCTCTACATGCTGATTTAAAATCAACTTTCATTTATTAGTTAAACAAACTTGTTTTTCATTTACCTACAAATAGGGTTAATCTACTTCAGTTTTGGTACAAATCATGTACAGTAATGTTGCCAAGTGTTGCATCCTGGGAGGGTTACATCAGCAGAGCATTGCCGGGAGATCTCGTCTGCAATCTCATGAGATTTCAGGGAAAGGCATTTTCCTCTCCTGAGATGATGTGCATGGTCACATGTCTAGTCACTGATTTTCAGGAAGTAAAGGGAAATCTAATTAGACGCACCTCCGCTACTACTGTAGCATTCTCTCTCTGTCAAGACCTGCACAGTGCGCTCTGCCGCTCCAAAAAAGGTTTAGAGGGTGATTTGGGACTCTCACTTGTTAAGTCGTACTGGGGCAATAAAGATCACACGCCAAATGACCAGAGTAGCAGATCTCTGTTGTTTGGAATGTGGAGCGACCTGGCAAATGACTTAATGAAGGCCTGCATTTGCTTTGAACTGGGGGACAAGAGAATGCTATATTTAATATTAATAGATTCAAACCTCATTATCATCCCAAAAGCAAGTATAGTTTCCGTTACAAATCCACCCACTTTGCTGAGGCCTTGTTCACACCAAGTGCGGAGCAGGTGCAGATCGGATCAAAACTGCGTCCAATGTATTCCAATGGTATGTTTTGCTCCATTTCACATCGCAGTGTGCAGGTCCAGAGCAGTTCCAGAGCAGGTGAAAAAACTGCAGCAAGCCCTATTTTAACTGCTCTGGAACGCATGCAAATGCATCAAAAATGCATGCAAATGCCTGGAACGCACTGAAAGCCCATGATAAACTAAAACTTTTTTTTTTTTACCAAAAACGACCCGGAACGCATCAAAAACGTGGAACACACCCACTGCACTGCGTGTGCAGAAACATGAGTGGATCTGCTCTGCATTTGGTGTGAACAAGGCCTGAAGGGGAGCAAGCAAATTCTGATCCTCCCTTTCATTGTGGTCACATGACTAATTTCCCTCTTCTTTGTTTTTGCAGCTTTCGTCCTGCACCGTTCTTCATTTTAGATGAGGTAGATGCAGCTTTGGACAACAGTAACATCGGTAAAGTAAGTCAGTGTTTAAAACAAATTTCTGCAAGCATTCATTGGGAAACACAGCAGACCTCTGGGTATGTGCCATGGTTGAATTGGTTGGATTTGCAAAGATCTGTATATTACATTGCCAGGCAGGTATTGAGGATCTTGGTTCCTATAACACTTGGCCTTGGGGTTTACCCCCTCTCTGTAACAAAATTCCTCTACCCTAATCCTTAATGTATTGGCCTAAGTCAAACCCTCTGTTCTTACCGTGTTACAAAAGAGAGCCTATTAAACAAGTGCATTAGGGAAACTGACACATTTTTTTAGGCAGATGACTTTGGGATCTAATTATTTGAGCATGTGCACGTGGGGTAATCGGTGAATGAAAGTTAATGGCTGTGTGTGTATGACTATGACTAACATACACTTTTATCCATGAGAATATTAACCAGCAAATGTTTCATATAGGTGACTAGTTACATCAAAGAACAGACAAGACAGCACTTCCAAATGGTGGTCATTTCCCTAAAGGAAGAGTTTTTTTCCAAAGCGGATGCTTTAATTGGAGTGTGCACAGAGGTAAAGTACATTCCAGTCCAAAATATATCCATTGGTCAGTGAAGTCTTCTACATTCAGAAAGATGGTTTAGTCCTAGCAAGATATAAAATGGTTTCCTTTTGTGTACTTTTTTTTAGGGCTGTTACTGATTAAAATTTTCGTGTTCGATTAATCCAAATTTTTTTTAATCGATTAATTTCGATTAAATATAGCGCACATACAGATCCAACTGCATTGGCCTATACACATACAGCACAGCAATGAAGTAATAAAATGAACTAGGATCACACTAATCCAGCACGTTATTAATCTCATGTGCCCCACTCAATATGGCCGCCGCTTGAGTGGGGCACGTGAGATTAATAACGTGCTGGATTAGTGTGATCCTAGTTCATTTTATTACTTCATTGCTGTGCTGTATGTGTATAGGCCAATGCCTTGGCTGGCGCTCGTGCAGAAAGTTTCTTGGGCAAATCACCCTTAGCACTGCACATTCATTATATAAATCTTTTGGCCTCAGTGTCTTTAGTGCACCAGCTTTAATATTGGTTAATCATATCTCCCATTGTTCCATAAGCGCAGATTTTACATGATACATATTATTTTTATTTTAGCTTAGCCTTGTAGACATTGTCCACACATCCGATGCACTCATGAACCATGAAACTCACCGGCCCAAGTGATTCCGTCAGGTAACAAAGGGAAGGGGGAGGAGTCCGGTGACGTCACGGACATCAACATCACCAGATTCCTCCCCCTTCCCTTCGTGAGCCATCACGGACAGCAAAGTCACCGGACTCCTCCCCCCTTCCCTTCGTTAGCCGACGGAGCCACTTGGGAAAGGGGGAGGAGTCCGGTGACGTCACCGTATCTCCGACGGGACTCCTGGAAGCCAGCGGAGAGGAGTGTTTTCATTAGCAATCAAAATAATTTGAATCGATCAAAAAGTTTAACGATTAATCGAGAAATTAATCGTTATTTCCGCAGCACTACTTTTTTCCTTTGTATCTAATATTGAAAGCATTCCTGGTGTTTTTTTTCAATTATGAATCTTTATTAAAGGGGAAGACAGAAATGACTCTAAGAGGTCATAGAATACAAAAACCAAAATGCAATATCAAAATAACAATACAGCCAAGTTTAGGAGGGCAAGACAGAACCTAAATGTAATACGTCCCAAGGACTAAAGTATCTATCAAATATATAGCGAAAGGTGAAGATAGTATCAATACTTAGAATAGGTCAAAGAGCAGGTAAAGAGTCCTTCAAACCTCCCCAAAATGTTCTATATTATGCAAAAATAGTAGAGAAGAAAGAAAGCAAAAGAAGAAATAAGGAAATGGACGTGAAGGGGATTGCTAAAGAAAAAGTTATTGAAGAAGCGGAAAAAAAAGGGGGGGGGAGCTGGGAGAGGGGCTGAGAATCATCACAGAAAGGATTGGTATCCAAAAGAGTAGCGCAAATCCATTGAGTAGAACCACGTGAGCTCCTCAATGTGCATAGTGTCATTTATACTGGAGAACCACTGACTCACTGATGGGGACGCAGTCTGTTTCCAGAGAATTGGTATGCAAGCCCTAGCGGCACTCAGGAGGTGAACCAGCGAACCAGCAAGGATCTCTTATAGCATTTGATTGAGAGGTGAGTGATGTGGGAAAAAAGGAAAACTTTCCTGTTTTAATGGAATTGCTCCCTCTCTAGCCAGGCCAGTGACATGCTGCTCTCTTGCTAGGAAGTGAGATTTTTGCAGTGCTCTGGGCCAACAAGGGAGCAATTCCATAGAGTAAAGTTAAACCCTCTCCTGAATGATTCTGCTACAGATGATGTGTCACCAGTAATAACGAGTGATGAACCCAGGCTTGGTGCGAATACCGTTTGCCCAAGCCCACTCAAAACTGTGACAGACAGCCCCCCCCCCCCTTCCCAGGCCAATCAGTTGCAGCAGGCACATTTCCTGCAGCTGTATGTCAGAGGGGTAGGGGAATGCCCCCGCTGCAATAGCCGCCACTGATTGGCCCAGGAGGAAGAGGGGTGGAGGTTGAGGGGGCTTGGACAAACTTAGGCGAACTGGGTTCGCACAAAGAACTAGTCACCTGCAACAAAATTGTCTGTGTGAAAGCAGCCCATATTTTGGGGGTGAAAAAAAGGATTCATTAATTTTGGGTGTTTTGCTTTTGCATTTTTTTTCTATTTTTGTAAATTTTTCCTTTGTATTCCTATTAAATCAGTTCACTGTTCTAGAGCAGCCCTATTCAAAAGGATATCTTTCAGAGCAACAAAATATATATAAATAGTTAAGCTGATCCAACGCTGATAGGGAAACATTACTCTGGCTCTAAAAAGACAATTTTTCTTTTCTTTTTAATTTAGCATGATGAAATGTGTAGCCAAGTGCTGACTCTGGACCTCACTATCTATGAAGATGATGAAGACTCTGATAGTGAAAGAAGAACATAGAAGATGGGTTATTTCTCTGATCTATTACTATTTGGCACTTAGTTCACACAGCAAGCGTTGTATTTGTTCTTTTCACATGTTGTGCATTATTTCCATGAAACATGTACTGATAATAGTGTATTGTAAAAGTATGCTGGGCAATCTCCCATGAAATTGATTTTTTTCCACTTTTAGTGGCATGGAACGACAGGCTTTTGATAGTATGGTTTAATCTGCTATTAAAAAGATGACATATAGCAGAATATAATTAATTCAGAATGGGGGGTGTATCATTAAGTCCACAAATGACTGGTGACTGTCAGTCACGGCTCCCCGCAGGGATTCCCCCCTCCCTTCTCCAATCTTCCAGTGCTGACTGGAGGAACGGACGGGGAGGGGGCGGGTACAGTTGGCTCTGCCTCTAGATAGGCAGAGTCAGCTGTCATTCACGCAGCTGGGTGGATCTCGACAGCATTGTCAGGATCTGTCTCGGCTGCGTCAGACTCCGTATACCGCGAGCTATAGCTTGCGATATACTGAGCTTTGGGTCACGGGAGGACGCTATTATATGTCCTCCCGTGACCCTAAAGAGAACTATGGGGAACACCCCATAGTTCTCTTTTATGCATGGAAGCTACTATTGTTGTCATCATCTTCTGAAAATACTAGTTTCCTCAATGTCATTCTGACCTAAAAACTTTAAAGTGAACCTGTGTCAAAACTATGGACATGAAAGATTTTACATATTCTTAAGAAGTGGTAAATTTGCTTAAGTCAATTCTTAACTGGCCTCTGTAGCTGCAGGCACTGTAATTCACTGACTCATTTATCCTCAAATGTCACAGTAGAGACTCTAAAGTAATTGCAGCTATTTCTGAAGAGCTTATCGCTCCTGCTGTTTGTTTAGATTAGAAGGCTTGTAGGCTGCTAAGTCATTGCTGGCAGGGGAAGCAATAGGAAGGGAGCTGTAATTTCTGTGCTTTCTTTATGAACTCTGAGGATCAGTTGTTCCACATAGCCTGCAGTTACAAAGGTCAGTGAGGACTTGTTTTAAAGCTCATTTGCAGATTGTTAAAAATATGTAAGAATGATATTGTTTCCCTTTCGTTAAAATGCATGTCACTAGATTTTGGTTTACTTAAGTGTAGTAGCATAGATGACAGGTTAGAGGCTGTGTTTGATCTGCATTGCATTTTTTCGGGTGCAGCAGGTCCTATTACGATGCATTTGAAAAGCAGGTCAAACCCATCCTTTTTTTTTTTTTTTGCTGCATTTAGCATTTAAATACATGCATTTAAGCAATGCTGCATTTGGCAAAAACACCCATCTATGTGAGCCCCAATAATGTCCATACCCCAGTCACGAGTCCACTCCAGTTCTTTAAATCACTATCCTGGATTATATATATAGAGTTAGGGAAGTCTCACTTTTGCTCAAATTTTCTGATCACTTGTTTGGGGTCAGTGGTCCATAAGGCATTGAAGCCAGAGGGCTCATGGGCAGCCTAATAGTTCTGGGGCCGTTATAAATAAGTGAATAGATGTATCCTCTTATCCTTGGAACTAGTATGCAGCCTGACATCCATCTAGAGATTTTGTTGCAGATTCTTAGTTTTGATACATTTTGACCATACAGTGGCGTTAATTTATTCAAACGTGTGTGTTGCACAGGGCAACTGTTTAGCTGACATTTGCCCCCCCCCCCCCCCCCCCCAAACCTAAGTCCCTGTCCCACC